TTTAGACAAAAGTCTTGTTTTCAGCCAGATGGAGGTGAGAGAGAGCGAGAGAGAGAGAGAGAGAGAGAATGACTGTGCCCCTTGGGAGCCAAGCCAGAATCAGATCCCACTAATTTGTAAAATGATTGTTTTAATCCACAGTTTTGGGGTAAGTGAAGTGTCATCTAAACCAAAACATCAAAAAGCTTTATGGTTTTACCTTTCATATTTAAAGTGTAAGACAGAGGTCTAATTTAATTTTTTCCCCATATGGATAAACAGTTGTCCCAATAACTTATCAAAAAGTCAGCCCTTGCCTCAGTGGTCAACCACGCCACATACCTGCTCTTTATTCTAATGCCTTGGACTACTGGTCTCCCCTAAGCCAATGATTATTGAAGCTTTATCAAAGTATTAATCTGTTATCAACTACACTGTCCACCTTGTTCTTAAAAGGGTGTTTTAGTTCTTCTTGACTCAGCATTTTTTGGGGTTTGTTTTTTTTTTCAGTACTGGGATTCAAACTGAGGGCTTCATGCCTGTGAGGGCAGGTGCTTTACCACTTAAGCCACACCTCCAGCCCAGCTGAGTTTCTTATGCATTTGACCATCACCTTTTAAGGTTTCTTCATTTCTCTGCAGCCCAGTTTCTCACCTACGGTGAGAACTGAAAGAGATAATAAATGTGGACAGGACTGATAGACCATGGAGAACAGTTGGGCTTTGAGTTCATTGTGTTTATACTGCTAACCCTAAGGAATGCCATACTTTTTCTGTCACTTCTGGAAACACCTTCATTCCCATGCTGCTTGCTGCCTCCTGCTGCTGATGGCAGTGAGGAGGACCACACTGGTTCCCATTAGGTATCTCTCAAGTTGGCCTTAGGAAAATTGTGATTTTTTTTAAATCCTCTTTTGGATGTTGGTAGCACCTTTTAGCTGGCACACAATTTTGAAATCTGGAGAGGACCCAGCCCTGCTGTCAGCCTGTGGTCAGATTCCACTGTGACCTGCTGGACAATTTGAGTAAAGATTCAAGAGGACCATGTGTTTAATGCATGCTTGCCTCTTCTTTATCAAAGTGGCACTTGTCAGAACCAAGCAGGAGACACAGTACAGATCCTCTACTTTTTTTTTTTTACCCTGTATATATTATTTTCAGTGCTAAGGACAGAACCCAGGGCCTTACATGTACTCTACCACTGAACTATACTCTCAGCTCCAGCACGCTGTACTTTTACTTTTGTTTGTTATTTTGCTTTGTTTTTTTTGAGACAGGGTCTTACTATGTAGCCCAGGCTGGCCTCAAACTCACCATCTTGTCTCAGTGTCCCATTGCTGAGATTACAGCATGTACCACCATGCTCAGCTTACTTCCTAGTGCTTAGACTTCTTTTTTATTTTTCCTTTCTCGCATAACACACTATTTTACATCCTGTATGCAGCAGACCTATTGATTGGCTAGTTAGCAATCATTCCCTCTTGCTCTTTGTTACAAGGAGCCCAAATATATTGGGCAACAAAAGCATAGGGAATGCCAAGCCACAACCTAATCCAGACGTGAATTTTGATTGGACTAAGCCAAACAAGGAATTCTGCCCACTAGGTTCTGACCAGTGAGGATGAGAGGAAGCCTGCTGGTGTGGGGCTACTCAGTGATGGAAGTCAGGGTGATAAGTGGTCTCTGGCTGGGACGACCAGGCCTTCAGGAGCATCCAGTGACATGACAAGGACAAGCTGCAGGGGAAAGTCTAAGGATGGCAGACAGAAGGACTGAAACTACTTGGGTTCTCCTGTGTTGAACATGTCTAGCTGCACTCTGGGTACTCACACAGCCAAGACAAGAGAAGAGTGACAGGATACACATGGCCCTACTCTTAAGATGGCACTTTGCTGTGTTCCTAGAGCTTTTCTTGGGTGCTTTATGGTTTTTTGGCGGTCCCAGGGTTGGAACACAGGGCCACACACTTGCTAGGCAAGAGCTTTCCCACTTGGGCTACTCCGTTAGCTCCTAGAGCTCTTCTTAAACATTGTTTATGCAGACCATTCCAGAAAGTTACCATTCCATGGTTTAGTTAGTCCCATGTTGTTAAATAACGATAGGGATAGAAGCTTTCTCATTTGATTCCTGGTATTGATAGAGGTAATCGTAGGAATAACAATAATAGTGAATATATATGTTGTTCTTTCTCTGTTACAACAGAAACTGAGCAAGCACCTTACTCAGATCATCTCATTTAATTTTCAGAAAATGAGTGTTTTATTACTGTTTCAATTTTACAGTTAAAAAGCCAAGAGATCAGAGAAGCTACTTTACTCATTCAAAGTCACATAGCTAGAAGGTGATGGTGCCACATCAAAGACTAAGCTCTTCTGTCACATTGTAAGACATTAAGATGCTGTTTTAAAGAAAGTTCTCTTATGTGAAGAAATTCTTAGTATTTCAATTCTTGCTTTCTAAAGGATTAACAGAAATAAGTATTAAATTTATGGAATGCTTTTTAACATTTATATTAAGATAAACTTATTTTTACTTGAACTATTAATAAATGTAAAAGTAATTTCCTTTTGCAACATTCAATCCAAATTATCTTGCAATCCAAGATAATTTTTGAAACATTGTTGAATTCTAAATATTGCGGTCAATTAGGAATTCACATTTCCATTGATGGAGCTAAACAGAGTTGGGAGAGGGGATGTGCTAGCTTTGTTGGTTTGGAGCTCAGGGTGACATTAGAGTTAGAAATCTTTCTGTCTTTTTCTAGACTTAGGAATAGTAGCACCATAAAAATGATATTTTACTCAATGGTCAGGAATTCATATGTGACTGCACCTAGATCCAGAGCCAGAGAACAGTGTAATGGTTTTATGACTTTCTTGGTTAGAGAGCTTCCTGGAGTCAATGTTACTAATGTGCATTTTTCCAGAAAATGAATCCTTTTACAGGATATTTTTTTTTCAAAAAAGAGGCCTATGGACTGGATGCAAGAGATTTTTTTTAAAGCATATTAATGTACATTTCAGTGGTGAATAGTATATTCTTTCTTTTTCTTGTCTTTTTTGTTTTGTTTTGAGACAAAGTCTCACTATGTAGCTCAGGCAGGAGGACCTGCCTTAGCCTCCCAAGTGCTGGGATTGCTGGTCTGTGCTACCATACTCAGCTATTACATTTTTTTGTACACTTAAAATAGTCTTAGCTGGGAGGTCGCAGTGGTGCACATCTGTACTCCCAGCTACTCAAGAGGTGTGAGACAGGAGCCTAGAAGTTCATGGTCAACTGGGCATGAACTCATGGCCCGGCCTCAAAAAAAAAGTCAATATTGGTGGTTCTAATCCTTTTTCCTTTGCCACCTTTATAATATTGCAGAGAATTTTGTTCATTGCTTATATATTTGTAGGCAGAACCAGTTGTTAATGGTTATTTATTTCACTTTCATTCTGCTTTAGGCTATTTGTTTGTGCTTGCATCTTTTTTCTCTTTTATTTAGGGATTTTTTTTCACTCATTGAACAGCTTTCCACATAAATAAATGTGCCTCATTGTTGTCACTTTCAATAGCTGCATAATACTTTGTTCTATGAGTGCAAAGTAAATACGTTTTGCAAGTTACTGGCTCCCTCCCTCAAACCCAACCCTGAAGAAACTAAGGGAAAGGGATGGGAGCAAGAATCTAAGGAAAGAACATAAAGAAATATGGGAGAGCTCACTGGGAGGCAGAAGACATCCAGATGAAGTGTGGCTGCAAAGCTCAGAGCCAGGTTGCTGTCCCTAGACAGGAAAGATGGAAGAGTCTTGTCTATAGTCTGAAGAAATGGGAGTGCTGAACTCAGCCCCATGCACAGAGAATATCCTCAGAAACAGCAGTCTCACACTGGCCTTCCACTGCTCTACCTTCTCCATGAAGCCCTACATGACCAGTCTCTTCCTGGGTTCTGAACTCCAAAAGTAGAATTAGCCATGGATACTGCCATCTACAAAGCAACCTGCAGTAAGTACTGCAGCCTGAAGTCTAAAGCACTCTAGATGTCTTAAGACTGAGAAGGGAAAGAGGGAAGAGCCCAGCAGAGGGTTGGTAGCAGTAGAAGTGTGCACAGGTGTGATGGAAGGAGGGTCTTGAGAAGCAAAAACACACACACAACATTTATTTTAAATAATAAATAAATGGCAAAGGAAATACAGGAAAGGAAACATTCATAAAATCCAAGTCACTAAAGTGCTTTCCAACATAAATTTTAAAGACCAAGAAGCCTGCCCTGACCTTCAGACATTGTTTGTAGATATGCAACAACTGCTTAAATATGATCCAGGATATTTCAGAAGGGGAGGAGAAATATGGCTTTCTTTGCTGATTATGAGTTCCAATATGTATAGACTATTAAATGACACTCAGAACATAAAATTATTGCCTAACACTAAAATTGAAATGTCCAAGGCCAAATTCAAGGAAAAGATACCATATAATTCATTCACATGTCTGTATGGAGTCTTCTCTGTAAAGACATCAGATTCTTCTGGAAGTTTTTAAAAAAATGTGTATTTCCTGACATGTGTGATAGTGTACAACTATAATCCCAGCACTCCAGAGGCTGAGGTAGGAGGCTCTCAAATTCAAGGTCAGATGGGCTATACAGTACGACCCTTAAAAGAAACAAAACAAAAAATACTACTTTCTAATTTAGAGTGAAGATATCAGCTCTACCCTATTAATCTACATAGTATATTGAACCCCATTTTAAATGGTGCCCAGCCATAAAAATGTCCTTTGAACTTCGAATCCTCCCTGCTCAAGTTCTACAAAAGAGAATCAAAATTTTACACAAAATTAACAGTTCAAATGCCCTTAAGGAATGGTTTCCATTTTAAACTGAAGTGGAATTTTCCCTTAGTCATGCATTTGTCTTCTTAAAGCAAGTGGCCTTGCAGTTTATGTGACACCATAATAAGAAAATGGAATTGAGAACTGTCAGTGAAAAATATGCAGACCTCCAGTCATTGTGGGTGGGACTTGTGAGACTCGTACAGCTCACACCTTCCTGGGCTGGAGCCCTTCTGACCCCACAGGGTGGGAGCAACCTTCAGCATCAGCCCCCTGGTGCACTTCCTTGGTCTCACGCCGGCCAGAGCTGGAGAGATCCATGACCACATCTTCCAAGCTGTTCTCAGAGCTCCCTTTGTCTGAGCCTCTCTGGGATCCTTCATGACTCTCACTAGAACCTTCTTTGAGGTGGTCACAGACCCAGAGTCCTGCCAACTTGTCTTCACTTCCTGGTTTTCTTATCATTCCCGTGGACTTTTTATGCATCCCTTGCAAAAAAAAAAAAAAAAGGAAAGAAAAAAATTAAAACATGTGCATTTCTAAATCCCGCTAGAATTATCCTTGTCAGTGTCTGTCTCTGGGACCTACAGGAAAGTCAGGCAGGCAACTGCTACCATTAGGGGTTGAAAATTCTGTGTCTACCAGGTGTCACACCTAGTAAAGTTGCCCTTTGTTTGCTCAGCATTGAACCCACTTCTTGTGTGGCTGAGGTTCTGTGGAAGTCCCACCTATTTGTGTAATTTCAGATGACTGGACTTGGCTCTCGTCCTCAAATTCTCTCTAGTCCTTTCAGTCCTTTGACAAAGTCAAGACTGTATTAATGATTGGTAAATCCAGCTCTTAGCATATTAGCTGAAAAGGAGGTATTCAAACACTGATGAACAAAGAAGTCAACTCCTTCCCAACCTGACACCACCACCATCCCCTAACTAATCTGCTCTGGATGCCTATCTTGTGACTCACTCCCTCAAGCTGTGATCCTTGTCTGTTGGTCTCTAGCTACAGCAAACAGAGCAGTTAAGTGTGGGTCTCCAGAGAATGGTCAAGCTCAAAGTTGGACCTCACCAGCCAAGACTATTTTAGCAGGGAAAATCGAAGGAACAGAAAAGCTACAGAACAGGTGGTTAAGGGCAGAACCAGGACCCGGGACCAAACCTCCTAATTCAAAAGAAGTATGGGGTGATTGCCGTCGGTTTTCACTGCTCTGTATCGCCCCTCCTTTCTTACCTGTATTCTAAATCATGTGACCTCTAAAATTTCTAATAGCATTCAGCACTTGGGAAACATATTAAACATAAGGCAAGAATATCCATCTACTCTTAAGTAATGTTGTTTACCAATGCAAATAGCCAAACGGGACCTTTGCACACAGCCTCCACAGTTCCAATGAAAAATAAGTCCAAGCACTACAATTCTTGTAATTAAATAGATATTAGATGTGAGATTGCCGACCTGAACCCGAGAACACGTGAAGTCCCTTTGCTTTGCAAATGGCTCCCCTGGTGGAGACATTTGCCCCATATCTCTGGCGTTTGGGGCTGGAGACTTACCCAGTAGCCAGGGCGCGCAGGAGCTGCGTAGGCCACCCTCAGTGGAGTTGAGCACAGAGTCCGGCAGCGGGATGCAGTGACGCACCATGGCCCCGTAGAGTCCGTACTCGGCCATCACGCTGCTGCCGCCCCAGCGCTTCTCCCGCTTGCGCCACTTGGCCCTCCGGTTTTGAAACCACACCTGGTTGGAGAAAAAAGAGAGACAGAGGGCGCACAGGAAGAGACACCATGAAGAGGGATGCTTGCAGAGGCTCATGGATGTCCCAGGACTATAAAGGGCCAACTCTCCACCCTTTCCCATAGTAAAGGAGCGCCCCAGGACCTTTCAAGTGCATTCCCTCAAACTCACAGGGATTCAGCATCGCGGGGGTAATGTGACACCTGCTTCCCCGGAAGTTTCCCAGTGAGTCAGAAATGAAAAACAGGAGCAAAGTACTTTGTGTAAAGAGGTCTTTACTATTGCAATTCCTGATTTTAATCATTGATTGAAAAGAGCCCACAGGCAATGGCCCCTTCTACTCTGAGGTTGTCATGTTGCAGTTAATATTTCTCATGAAGAATATCATGTGAAAGAATTTTATGGAATACAGTATAAATGTTTTAAAAAGTGAATTAGTGGCAAATCTTGACAAATCAAAGAAGTATGTGTGTGTATATATGTGTGCACATACATATCTATCTGTACCTGAATATTGATAGGACCATAAGTGTGGAAAGGTCACGCCAGGCGATATATGGTGGTTTCTTTGAGAACTTAAGGCACAGAGATAGTAATTTTTCATGGATGTATCTTCATGCAGTTTCTAGATGTCACACACATACAGTGTGATTTTTGAGAATGCTTTAATAATAAATAATAACAAAAGGGGAAAAGGCCTGAGGGTCAGAAAGACCCTTGTGGTGCCTTTAGCTAATTAACCCTCAGTTTTGGAGAGAAGGGACCATCTTGGCTGTGGTTGCCTCACTGTGACATATTCTCTGCAGTGTCCTTCGGAAGAAGAAAGGACCCCAGACACCTGTATTCTGTCTTCAGGGAGCTCGGTTTTCACAGCCAGCATTTCCCGGGCATATACATCAGGGTAGTGAGCCTCGCTGAATGCCTTCTCCAACTCTTCCAGCTGGTGAGCAGTGAAAACCGTCCTGCAGGAACATATGAGTATGGACACATGTTCCCAAGGACAGCCACACATTCCAGCCTTAAGGACCATGTGCCTGCCTCCTCTGCTGTCCTTATCCCAAAAGCCATCTCTTGACCATTGGTCAGCCCACCTCTGAAAACCAGAAAGTCTCAAACTTCATAGACATCCAGAAGTTTGGTTCAATGCAATATAGAGTTCTTTAACTCTTTCTTCTTCTGTGTGTGCACATGTGTGTACATCCATGCGTGCATGCTGGAAATTGAAACCAGAACCTTGTGCATGCCAATGCGTACTCCACCACTGAGCCTATAGCTCTTTCTTAATAAATTCCATTAACTCATTCTGACAAGACCCATTTTACAGACCAAGAAAATCACATCTTTAAAATGTCACAAAAATTATCCTGCAGCCTCATGGGAATTGCAGAATTATCTTTACAAATGGCATCTGTGCCCCTCTCACTGCCAGCCAGGAGGCCACTGGGCCTGCCATAACCCAGGGCCACACATTCTCAGATGCTGGTCCCATAGACAATAAGGCTATGTCTGGGGAAAGGCTGTCAGAAAGGACAGCCTGGTCTGTACCTGTGCCTCCGCTTTTTCCTCTTGCCAAGGGTGGGGGACGCCTTCAGGTCACTCGTGTTTTCACATGGGCTGTCCTCATCTGTTAGGACAAGAAGAAGAAGACTCTAAAGGTGAGAGAGTTTTTATTATTTCCTGGATTTTAATGTGAGGGTTGTTGAAATTATGAACCCATTAGGAATACATTTGACAATATAAGCTAGCATTTTTATCACTTCTCAGATTCTAGGCACTGTGCTTAATATTGTCCATGCATTATCTTAATTATTCTTCCAGTAAACAGACCCCAAGATAGCTGTCATTATTAACCTTTTACAGATGAGGAAACCAAGAGAAAGAAATTAAGTAAGTTGCCCAAGACCACAAGATAGTAAGCAATTGTGTGAAGCCAAAGTTACTTGGCTACTTTTTGCCTTTTCTAAACTCCCACAGCTGCTAAATTCACCTGCTTCCCTCTACCTCTCCTCTCATTTAACTTCTATACCAGTTCTCAAGAGCAGAGCTGAGGTTTTTTATCACCAGAATCTTTGTCAGAACTCTCGCTGCCCTGATGTACCAATTCAGACTGTGTAGAAGTGGACCCAGGAAACACTCCTGCCACGTGTGCTCAGATGATGTGTATACTTGAAAACTTAAGAACCACTCTACCGTGCTTGGCTTATATTACATCAATTATATTGAAAGATCCAGATGGAAAGGAAGATTAGAAAACCAAACTATGGTCAGGTTCATCATTCAAAAGTATAATTAATTGTCTCAAAATATTAAAAAGAATGAGTAAAGGCAAAAATAACACTAGTTTTACTTCTGCATTAATTAGATCACCAGAAAACTGTGTGCTTGGGTTGTAACACTCTATGCTCTGGCCAGGTAGCTATTAAACACATAAGGTTATTAGGCACATGAGATGTGTCTATTCAGACAGAAACCAATCATGAATAAAAAATTACTCAGTAGATTTAAAAGTCTTAGTGCTCCCCTCAAAGTAAAATAGTTTTGTACTGATTACATTGAAATAATACTTATACATACTGGATTTAAAATATAGTATTTAGGTGGGGGTGTAGCTCAGTGGTAGACTGCTTGCCTAGCATGCCCAAAGCCCTGACTGTGATTCCCAACACCACCAAAAAATAGTTTTTTAAATTAACCTCACCTGTTTCTTTTTCCTTTCAAAGTGACAGAATTTTTACCAAACACAGTCATATTGTACTACTTCTGTTGGACACTGCTCTATAACTTCATGAAAACTACTCACAGGATAGGATTTAGTTGTGTTTTAACTTAGGTTTATCAGAGATTGTAGAAAAAAAGGAATCCTTCCTATGAAGGTGGTCTTTGTTTTAGTGAAACAACTTAATAGAGGATTTCATTTTATCTTGCAAAGAAGATTGTGAAATAAAGTTCTTTCTGAGCCAAGTGCTCACCCATCTCTTTATCTGAGATGCTTCCTTTTTATTTTTATTTATTTACTTTTGGCAGTCCTGGAAACTGAACTCAGGGCCCCTCCCTTGCTAGGGCAAGTGCTCTACAACTTGAGTCCCAGTCTGCAAGCTTTCTTTTATTGTCGGCAACACACAATGTAGTCTCTTTGTCTTGGCTGTCTGGATGCTGTATTCTAGGATCTACCATACAATTTCACTAGGTCCATGTTTTCTTGTGTAATTCTCCTTTTCCTTTCCCCACATCTCCAAAATTCAGTTTCTTTCTCTTGTTCTTTATGGAAATTCTTTAGTTTTCTTCTCTCCCCCATAATTCTTCCCTATTTTTTTTTTTTTGAGGAAATAGGTGAACTCTGAGCAAAAGTCGAGCACAAATACAGTGAAATCAGTCAGGATATTATCTATCCCACGTGCTGGAGTCAAGAACAGGACAGGAAGCGGAGGAGCGCGAAACCCTGGACTCGTTTTTCAGCACCGGGAGGGGGTGACAGTTCCCGGGCTCACCGCCCAGCCCTCTCCAAGCAGTTCTGCAAACCTTTGCCCGCCCTCGGGGCATCAGATTTCCTGCTGCTGGTGAACCAGACCTGCCCAAGTCATTCCCCGAGGCCGAGACTCTCGCCAAGTGCTGGGGGAAAAAGGTCATTAGGGCGCCAATACCCTGCCCCCCCATGCTCCGCCACCGGCCCGTGGCATCATCCCAGGGCGGTGGTGGCGGTCCCCGCAGCCCTGCGGGAATAGGATCTCGGGGGACAGGAGGGATTTGGGGTACAGCAAGGGAGCATATGGCGCAACCAACACGAATATGCCTCTCCCAACTGAGCCTCCCTATGGGGTCCCGACTTCCCCGAGATCTGGGGCAGCAGTGGGGTGATGATTGTGTGTTATCCTTGTGCGGCTCGAAGCCACGAGGGTGGGGGACAGGGGCGGGAATTGCTGGCCTGGTTACCGGACGTGGAGAGGTTCTCGTTGCGCTTCTGGCGGTGAAGCGCGGGCGGCGTGTGGCCAGGACCCTGCGGGGCAGCGGACTCGGGTCCCCCAGGAGGCAGAAACGGCAAGTCGGCCAGAAGCAGACAGGGTGCCCGAGCAGCAGAGGGCGGCTGGGCGCTAAAGCCACAGAGGAGGCCCAGGCCCAGCCCCAGCGGGAGAGCCCCACGCGCCAAGCAGGAGCCGCCGAGCCCAGGCCCCGGGCCTCGTGAGGCCGCCGGGCTCTCACAGCTGGATCCCGGCCCCGGGCCGGCGGGGGCCGGCAGGTCGGCCTCCAAACCCAGCAGGTCTGTGATGGCGAAGCTTCGAGGGCGTGAGCCCGTGGGGGAACCGCCGGGCACCAGGACCCTGCTCCTGACGCGCCCATCAGAAAGCGCGTCCCGTCCGGTCATGATTCTCAGCCGGGTAGGCGAGGCGAAGTGCGATTCTCTCTGGTCACATTTGCTTAGTTCAGAAGCCGCTTTATACGCCTGGGCTGCCCATCGAGCACCCATGGTCTGGAAGGCTCCAATCAGCGGGATGCAGACCCGTCACTATCCGGATCCACGAAGTGGGGACACCACCCATTCTCCTCCCCCAGGTTGCCGCCCTCCCAGCTGTAGTCCCTCAATCACTTCCTTTTCTCCTCTCCAGCTGTCCCCTTGCCTACCCCAACCCCATTCTCCCAAGGTTAGGGGGAGGAAGGGACGACTCCGCTGTCTGTCCCTCTAAAAGCCACAATTTCCACATCCTGGTTTGGTCTTCTTTCCATATTCTCCCTGACTTCCCAAACCCTCCGACACCTTCCAATTGCTCATTAAGTCCGAGGGCCAATCAGGCACCGGTGGCTCATGCCTGTAAGCCTAGCTACTTTGGAGGCTGAGATCAGGAAAATCGTGGTTCGAGGCCAGCGCGGGGAAATAGTTCGCGAGACCCGCCCCCCCATCTCCAAAATGGTCAGAGCAAAATGGAATAGAGGTGTGGCTCAAGCGCTAGAGAGCCTGCTTTGCGACAGCGAAACCCTGAGTTCTAACCCCAGTTACCCCCAACCCCAGAGAAAAAGACCGAAGGCCTCATTCCCAGCAGCACCCCGACCATTACCACCAAAATGACCCCTGCCAGCCCTCCAACTCCACTGCCACGGCCAAGAAGGTCTTCCCTGAAAATTCTCAAAAGGAAATGGGTGGAAAACGTTCATATAATTCACAGCCACTCTGCCTCCAGCCTAAATTTGCCCCAGGACTCTCCAGGCTGGGCTGCAGTGGGTCACAAAGTCGCCAGAGCTAAAGTAGAAGCAGATGTGGTCTTGGCGGGACCCGGACGATGGGGACAGGGTGCTAGGTTTAACAAAACTACGCCGATCTCGGTGAAATTTAAATTTCAGATAAACAATGAGTATTATTTTTGTATAAGTGTGTGCCAGTATTTTATCCAGCAATTCTAAATGGGCTGGGGGAGAATTGAGATAAAATAGAGTCCATCTACTGTGCCACATGCCTTTTCACGGAGACTAACAAAATTGTCCGATTCTATGTTTATTCAAAGACAACCCGCTTTTCATGTGAAACTGGCGCCGAACGAAGCTGGTGGGTAAGCCAAGCTCCTGGCTTAGCCTTGGGTACTTCTACCTCTGCTCGGAGACCTGAGCGTAATCTTCCCAGTAACAGAACCACAAAGCTGAATCGCCTCACTCGCACTTCCGGAGGACCCGACAGTCGAAGGGGCAACTCTCAACCACCTTGAGGGACTGGGCGCTGCTCCCTGTTGTACGCAGGAGCCGGAGCACTGTCCTGCAAAGTAGGTCTCTACTCGCTTGCGAGTTCGAGTAGGGTTTCTGCTGAACGTGCGGATTAAACAGGGGGCTTCTCATAAAGATAATTGCAAGAGGCTGCGCATTAAAGTTCCATTATTAAAGGAAGACCCAAATCTCCCCTCAAGCTGTTCCCGGGATTAGCAAAACAATAACTTTCCTTTGGGATAATTGTCCGTTGAATTGCTGGGGAGGTTTCGGGGTGGGGGTGGGGAAGAGGGGTTTGCCATTTTAAACCCCGGCGTCATTTTTCCGCTGTGCCAGGAATTTTCCACGAAATTTACCTCTGGATTCAGGGAAAGGCGTCAGAGATACAGAACCATGCCAAATCCTCGAGCTCGTCTCCCGGCAACACTGTCATTTGTAAATCTGAATTTGGGGTCACAGTTGAGAGATAGCTATGATTGTACACATTTTGTAGTTCGCAACCAGGGTGGGCAGGCGGGACAGTTGGCTGTAAGGTGGATCGACTAGGGTCCCCCACAAGGAGTCTCAGAAGCTGGGGTACGGACACCACCGCTTCACCTGGTCCAGGGTCTTGGGGCCTCCCTCCCTTAGTTTATGCCTGGGGAGGCAGAAGACGACCAGGGATCCAAAGGTACCAAAAGGACGGGAGCTTAACCTAAGACTCCACACAGTGAGCTCAGTGCAGTAGCCAAGAGCAGACCTGTCTCCAACCCCTTGGGAAAGATTTTACCAAACCACTTTACAGACACTAGCCAGATCACACCGGACGCCGAGAGAGAAATGGGGAAGTCGAAGTAGAGCAAAGGAGCGAGAACAAAGAGCCCAGGGTGGGGCTTTGAGGGGCTCTAAGGGGGTTCTGCAATTTCTGAACTGAGGCGTCCCTAACGCCTTCTACAATCCCGGGACCCTCACACAGGGCGAGCTGGATCCTGGGGCGCCTTCCCTGTCACAGCATGGCTGTTTCAGGAACAAAACATCAGAAAACACTTTCACTGCCCTCTCTCCACTAACAAACACCTTCCTACTCCAGTCTCGAATCCGCGCCCAGCTGCTTCGAGGGAACCAGTGTCCAGTCGCGCGTCCTGTGCCGCGGGGATCAGTTCAGTCCCGCAGCGCCAAGGGATGGAACGCAGCAGCTAGAGGGGCAAAGAGCTTAGCTCAGCGTCCGCCAAGGCAGAAGAAGAGCTTCCAAAAGTTTAGGAGACATGGACAAGAGAAAGCGAGCTGCACCCGAATCCACCCATGATGATAAGTCTGTGGGCACTCGCCATGGGACACCGCCTCGGTTCCCTGGTAGCCGGGAATGTGGGCTCCTCCCAGCCTCCGATCCCCACTTGCAAATCTGAGGCCAGAGGCATAATCCAGGCGAATGTCCCCGCCCCGGGCCACCTCTGAGAGTAGTTTTGGAACCCTAAATCCGTTAAGGAGTCCGGATCTGCCCTCATCAGCCAGGATTATCCCGGATTTAACTAATCAGCAAAGATTTCTCCACTCATTATTTTCAGGGAAGATTTCCAAACTAACCACGAATGTGCCTTCCACTCCCAGGGCCACGTGTTCCTTCAACTCTCCTAGCCTGGGCGCTACCCAGTTTTTTCTCAGCGTCAGGCTGAGACTAGTCAGGTTGTGGGTGATCCACAGGCGCCCCCTTCAGCCTTTCAGAGCCGCAGCTGACCAGGCTGATTGTACTCAGACACAGCAGGAGTGGGATGCATAGCATGGGTACGGTCTGTCACGTAGGAGTGTCTACGGAAATTAATCCCATGGTGCTGGTCCTTTTCTGATTTCCTCCCATCTCTTTGACTGTTCCTTCTCAATTGCTTTTGTGCCCTTCCATAAAGATTTTGTAGGAGATGCTGTTTTGCCCTGTGCACATTTCCTAGCCTACCCACTCTGCCTGCACACCTACCCAGTCTCCAGCTTCTACTGCTGCCTATCTTTCCCTGGGGGCTTTCTCTGCTCTGAGTCCACTTTGCCCACAAGCATAACAGGTTCTGAAAAGCCCTGGACCGCAGGCTGACAAGCATTGTATTATAAATGATCTAGGGTGCATTCTACTCTATCACTTAGGGTTCCCCCTTTACTTGCTAATGATCACTTCCACATTGCTCCCTCCCCCTGCCCCATGCTGTGCTGCTCAGACCCCTTTCCTGAACTCTGACACCTTCTTCCACCTGCTATGAATGTAGGCTGCTAACAGCTTGCCCAGATCTTTATTGACAGAATTTTCTGCTGGCAAAAACTCTTTAATCCATAACATATAGTATTGATCTACTGAGCAGAGGTATGATATGAGGCCTCACCTCTGGTTTCAACCAACTGTGGTCATGTCTGCTCCCAAATCCTTTGCCTGCATCAATCAAGCTAGTCGCATCCTTGCTCAGCAACTTCCTCTCTGCTTCTGGCCTCCCTCAGTCCTGAGATACCCTTCAGCCTAATAAATGTCATGCATTCAGACACTATCTCCAGCTCAGCTTCTAGGGACCCCAGCCTCAGACACTTGCTTCTTCACTGATGTTCCCTGAAGTCACCTCCAGACTGATGACATCTCCTGGAATGCTTGACTCAGAGTCCACCTTGGACACTTCTCTCCCTAACATGGGAGCCCATCTCCCTGCCCAAAACTTCCAGATCTGACTCCAGCCTGGAACTAAGTCACATCTGCAATGGCCTCTTGCACACATGCCCCAGAGTCTCCAGGAAGCCCTGAAACACAGTCCTCTCAGAGCTGAAGTTAGTATCTTCCTCTACAGCCTGCTTCTCCCCAGATCTTCCTTACTTTCCTCCCCAGGAGCCCAAACAGATTCCTGAGCATCGTCCTCAACTACACACTATTCTCACCAGGCTCATTCTGACCACACCTTATGGATATGTCATAAAACTGACCCCAAACTGTGGGAAGTGATCCCTAACTGGAATCAGGAACTATGGATCCATTTGGCATGCCCACGAGAGTGCCAGCCTCTGAACCCTTTCTTGGTTGAATGTTCTGGTTACTATTTCAGCATCACAAATTATTTTAAATCTTAGCCACTGAAAACAAACCATTTTATTTTTCTCATGGTTTTGAGGGCAAAAATGTGGGGAGAGCTGACCTAGGTCATTCTTGCCTGGAGCATCTGCCACATAGGACACATATGTGGCACCTGCTAAGGCACCTGCCACAATTGTAATCATTCATTCATCTGCTTGTTCACTGTGCTTTAACTGTCCCCACTGCCAGATGCTGCGGCTGACACTCGGTGGGCTACACATCAGCCCATCTCCCCCCACACCACTCTTCTGCGCCCTCTGCAGATGATTCCCAAAGACGTCACAGCTTCCTACCCCAAGCATCTGCCACTCTGCCTGAGGATGTCCTCAGGCTCCAGGAGGTACCTGCAGGACTGTGGTCCTGAGGAAGTAAGCCTCCAGCAGCCACCCTTGAAGGTGAACAAGAGTCTGGCAACTTTATTAATTGGGGGAAAGATCCTGCAGTGGGTTCTCTCACCCAAGGTCCACATATGACTGAGCCTGGCAAAACTCACTCACTATCACACTAACCCTGTGTCCCTGTCACACTCTTCTACCTTGGCCACCTGGGTTCACCTTTGAGATAAACTATTTCACTCAAATTCCTGTTACAGAGTCTGCCTG